AAGTGATCAAAGGTCAATGACCTGACATGACCTTCAGGTGACCTTGACACCCACCCGCATGGGGGCAACATCATATCGCATGTTTGAACGCTTGAAACCACGAAAAGACTGCAAACGCGCGGCTAATGCAAGCCGACATACGCCGGATCGCGATTCCAGCCAAACATGGTCTCGAAAAGTAGGTGACAGGTCAAAGGTCATTTGGGTCAGGGTCATGAAATTTTCAGGGTAGGTGTGAAATTGATGAACGCGAGGGTACTGAAAGTTTCGCCGCGATCGGCCGCTTTTTACGCGAGTTATTCGCGAAAAACCATGGGGGGGTCCGTTCGACCCCCCCCCCCTATACGGGCGAGGGCTATGCTGACCAGCTGCGTGAGGCAGGACCGGCGAGGATGTGGACAGTGCTGCGGCCGGTGATCGGGACGGGGAAGAGTGCCACTGCTGCTGCGCCAGCGTGCACGCCGGAAGCGCTCAACGCGTATTATGTGAGCGTGGGCCCCACCACCGCAGCCAGCGTCCCTGCCCCGCTGCTGCGGACCCCGGTACCTGTCAGAATCCCTCGCGTACTCACATGTTCCTTACAACTTCAGTGGGTAGGGTACGTTACGCTGTATAATATTTATAATAGTAAAACTTGCTATTGTGCATATCATTCAAAACTGCGTTTTATTGTCATTCTGTTGAACGTATTATGCTGCGGCGTTAGTGGCGCGTTTTTTGTCAATATTTTGTTGACCGGAAATGGAGTGGATGGGGCAAGACGCCTACTCGATGCATGGGGCAAGACGCCCCCAGTTTTCTGAAAGGGGGTGGGGGCGTTTTGCACGGTGGTGAGAGTGCAGGGTAGCGCCCTGTAGGTCGGGGCCGAAAAGGCCTCTCCCTGTCCTTTTTTTAATGATATATCCTAAACGACTGCAGATATCGTCACCAAACTTTCAGGACTCCTCCGGGCATCAATTTTACACATTGCAGCAAAATTTCATCCCAAAGGCTATGATAGGTTGACCACAAATGACGTCAGAATGACGTCAAGTTCTGCCATGTTCATCATTTTCTGTTGATGGATGGGGTGGGGGCGCTTTGAACATGGGTGTGGGCGTATTACCCAGGGTATGGGGCAAAACGCCCTTTTGTAAGGGTATGCGAAAACCTTTTTGGGGGCTTAAATACCACACGCAGGTGTCTTTTCTTGGTCTCAAAGCGTAGTAAAAAGAATGAGCTACACGATGGTGCCCAAAGGTTTAAGTAATCTGTGTTGGGTTGAGTGTCAGAAGGTTTCGCGCTTAAGGGGGGCGTTTTTGACCTATTCACCCTATCCTTTTGACTTTTTATTTCAGACTTTGACTTTGACTTTCTATTTTATACTTTTTTCATTTTTTGACTTTTTGTCTTTTGACTTTTACCCGTTTTAACTTTTTGCTTTTGACTTTTTGTCTTTTGACTTTATTCCGTTTTACTTTTTTGTCTTGACTTTTACTCGTTTAGACTTTTTGTCTTTTGACTTTTTCCGTTTTGACTTTTATCCTTTTGACTTTTTGTATTTTTGACTTTTTGTCTTTTGACTTTTACACGTTTGACTTTTTGCTTTTGACTTTTTGTCTTTTGACTTTTTTCCGTTTTGACTTTTATCCTTTTGACTTTTTCATTTTTGACTTTTTGCATTTTTGACTTTTTGTCATTTGACTTTTTGCGTTTTTGACTTTTGCACATTTTGACTTTTTGCTTTTGACTTTTTGTCCTTTGACTTTTATCCGTTTTGACTTTTATCTTTTTGACTTTTATCCCGTTTGACTTTTTGCATTTGACTTTTTGTCTTTTGACTAGGTATTTGTCTTTTGACTTTATTCCTTTTGACTTTTTGTCCGGTTACCCCTCAGTTAGCCTTAAAGGGCCCTCAGGTGGCGTCAAAGGGCCCTCAGATGTACGGCTCACGCGAGATTAAGCGGTAGGTTTTGCACTTTTACATTTCCAGTTATATCTCAGAAGATAGGTGTAGGAACAGGGGGGACGGGGGGGCCGGTGGCCCCCCCACTTTTCATAGTGGGGGGCCAGTAATGTTAACTGCCCCCCACCCACTTTTTGCCGAGCATTAATGTATTTGTAGGTACCACCCCGAAGAACAAACTTGACGGTTCTCCGGCCTGCCCTTCCATGACGATTTCCATTTGTGCTTCATCGTTATTGAGTGCAATTTTCCTCCACCCAATGAAAGTTAACTTTGTCAGAAGCAATAAGTGGCAGCTTAGGCCTTAGGGGCAGCGCGCGCTGCAAAGAGAGACAATACTGGCGCAGCAGAATGCGTAAACGGCGTAAACTAACAATTTATGTTAGACGGCCTTGCATTAGTTGATCGGTTACTGGCATAGGCATAGGAACAGGGGGTAGGGGGCCATGGCCCCCACTTTAAAATGTGGGGCCAGCAATGTTAACTGCCCCCCCCCCCCAAAAAAAAAACATAGGTACACCTTTTGCTGACTTTTCACTTCTCACGTTTCGCGCTCGCTCGTTATAAAAAAATGTTTTTGGATGCTTCTGGAATTCGCATGGGTGCCAACCAGTGGCGGATCCAAGGTGGGGTCACATGGGTCATGCCCCCTTGGGGTCCGGGGGCACTACAGGCCTACCAGGGGCACCACCGACCTATCAGGGGCACCATCGGCCTGTCAGGAGCACCATCGGCCTAACAAGAGCACCACAGGTCTGCCAGGGGCACCACAGACCTGTCAGGGGCACCACAGGTCTTCCAGGGGCACCACCGGCCTCGCAGGGGCACCTTGGGCCTGTCAAGGGCACCACGGACCTGTCAGGGGCACCTCAGGCTTGTCAGGGCCCAGGGGCACCACAGTCCTTTCTGGAGCACCACAGGCCTGTCAGGGGCACCAGAAGCCTAACAAGGGCACCACAGGTCTGCCAGGGGCACCACAGACCTGCCAGGGGCACCACAGGCTTGCCAGGGGCACCAACTGACCTCACAGGGGCACCCTGGGACTGTCAGGAGCATCACGTGCCTGTCGGGGACACTTCAGGCTTGTCAGGAGCACCACAGTCCTGTCAGGGCCCAGGGGCACCAGCAGCCTAGCAGGGGCACCACGGCCTCGCAGGGGCACCACCGGCCTCGAAGAGGCACCATGGGCCTGTCGCTGCCACTTCAGGCTCATAAGAAGCACCACAGTCCTTCCAGGGGCACCACAAACCTGCCAGGGCAAAAAAAAAGAAAAATGAAAATAGGGCACCACCAAAATTAAGTGGCCAAAATCCGTTGAGGTTTTAATTTTGGGTATAGGTAGGGGTACTACTTCGATTCATGACCCTCTCCTTGGAGTTTTCCTGGATCCGCTCCTGGTGCCAACGCGGCTGCAGAGGCCAGGGGGATGCATCCATGAGATTTAATATCTGGACGGGAGCCTCCCTGAGATTTTGGTCGATTTTTTTTTCTTGTCACTTTTTTACCGATTTAGGCATGCTTGCGAAAATAAAGTAGCCGAAATCCGAGGAGAAAATGGATTTTGGGGGTAGGTGAGGTTTTGTGCCTCTGGCAGCCCCTCCCCCCCCCCCCCACTTAAGAAAACATTCCTACACCTATGTCTCAGAAACTTATCGATCTTCAATGAAGCCATTTTACATGATCATGGCCAGATTTGGCTTGTGAACCAACAAGTCAATCCCATCTTCAACACTTAAAAGCTTAAGAGGACAAAGATATAGCCTGAAGTACACTAAATTTTCTAGGTGCAAAACCTACTGCTAAAACTTGCGAGACCTGAACAGGGTGTCTCAAAAGTTCATTGACAGGTACCCCATACCAGCCATGCTTTTTTGTCAATAATTCTGAATCAACAAGAAATTAACAGTCAAAATTTGGTAAATGTCAACATTAGGTCCTAAGCAGATTTCATGGATATTTTTTCATATTCTTACATCATTTGACATCCTGAATTCAAAAATGATACTTATGTCTCGCAATTAAAAGACAGTTGGGGAAACTACGAGGCGAATGTCAAAAAATGGATTGGTCAATAAATGGACTTTTGATGACCATATATGGGCATAAATGCAGCCCCCGCTACTAAGGGTGAAAAACGGTATAACAAGCCGGTACTTGTGGTATCGCGTCCACTTATTGGAGAGAAAAGGCTTCCATTTTTCACTAGGAATTAGTGTGATTAGATAAAATTCGGCGAATTGACTCGAAAATGGCGATGGGAAAACGACTTTTCTGCAGGTTCTGGGCGTCACAATCAGCTGGCCATTCAATAAATGGATTGGTTTTATGAAAGAAAATTGTTAAAAGATTTATTTTAATTACAATAAACATAAATATTTAATTCTTAAATAATAACTTAACTACAATTAGAAAAACCATAAACAAAATAATAAAAATAATGACATTTTAAAACCACGGTACTGCTTACATTTTTTGGCGCGTCTGTTTCAATCCGCCATATTTGCCAATCACGGTTTGACCTTGCGTTGTAACTCTGCGATTTAGAGCCGCCAGATAATTATGCACCGGGTGAGTGTAGGTTTTGTGTGGTTAAAAAACATTCTTATGCCTTATTTTTTCATTTGAATGCTAAAATTCATTGAAAAGATGAAGTTGTCTGATTTTATGACCATATATGGTCATCGCCCCGCCCACTCCAGCCGCTGATTGGCTAATCCAATTTTTGTTTGGCTCCTCGTAGTTTCCCCAACTGAAGAAAAAACAATCAAACCTGACCCGACCTTACCTATTTACCTATAACCTACCAACCTACTACCTACAAACCTACAGCCAAACGACCTAAAACCTACAAACCTCCTACCTACAACCTAAAACCTACAAACCTACAACCAAACCTTACCTTTGTTAGGTTTATTTTAACGAGAAACAGCGGGGGGTCGGAGAGGCCATCATAACCAAGCGTTTTCATTGTAGTTAATTCAATCTGATTAGTGTCATGCCATCTTACAAAACACTTACTCTTTACATTTACACCAAGTTTCCTGCAAAATCTTACCTTGAAACACCAGAAAAATCGATGCAAAACCGACTCCCTCAGAGCACACGAACCCGCGCCATCACGGTATATAGAGAACTAGGTAAAACCGGTTCGCCGCCACAACACTAAAACGCAGTTCACACTTGCCCGTAAGGTCTGCCGGTGACGGGCCCGACACCGTCAAAACGGCCGAAACCGACGGAGCGACGGCCGTCAGGTCGACGGGCATGTGTGAACCGGCAGCGTTTGACGGCCGGCAACAGCTGACTGCGCCGGCGCCGGACCTGACGGCCGTCGCTTTGGAAAGTTCAGCAATGTTCAACTTTTGACGGTGACGGGCCCGTCGGTTTGACTGTCTGCGTGTTGGAGGAAGAGGAAAGGGGACCTTCTCATGCAGCATGAAGCTTATGTGCATTTTTGAGATCATTTTTACCATTTTCCATCCATTTGTTGAGAGGAAAGTGTTTATTACGGCACGATATCTTGAGATTCGATCCCTGATTTAAATCAGCGAACCGATGTGTCTTTCATTTAAATAAAATTGCAGCATTATTTGACATAAAAATGTAAATGCGTGGTATTTTATTTCTGCAATTCAAAGAATATTTTTAACCTCGGCCTCTACCGTCCCCCCATCCCCTTCCCCCATCTGCGTCAATCTCGAAAATGGTGCGCCATTTCTGTCACAACATATGGCAGCCAATGGGAGCTACCAAATCTCAACTTTCGTTTGACGGGCCTGACGGGCTGCAGGCCGTCAGGTCGACGGTGACGGGCCCGACACCGACAGACTGACGGTCATGTGTGAACTGCGTTTAAGGTATTTTAACCACTATTTTCAGCTGGCCTTCTCAGTACAAAAAAAGAAACTAGGCCACGTATCTTTATGTGTTTTATTATTTATATATAAATTGGCAATAAAGTTGCACAGGGCAAGACTAGCGTAACTCTGTAAAGTATTTGCGAAGATAATTTTTTGACCGACCACGCCATTTCGAAAATAATATATCTTTGGTTGTAGGAGTTTGTTATTGATTAAATCAAATTTTTATCCTTAAAAATTTAAATTAATTGTAAAAAAGTATTATCAAATGCCAATACTGTTTCTTTCAATTTCGAAACCACCAAGCTCAGCAAATGGCGGGCCCACCTGACCAGCCAACGTTTTACCACAAATTCTTGAATAAAATCAGTTGTATAGGTTGTAAATCATGATCGAACAATATCAAAATTGAATATTCTTTCCGATTTTATGTGTTATTTCATTTGTTCATGCTCAAAACTAGAATAAATCGATGTTGAATGTAAAACCACCTTTGGTGATCTTGGTCACACTGTTTCACTAGATGTAATGGTTTTCAAAAACAAGACCGAGTCGGCGTCTGAAACGTTCACCAAAATATGCAGAAATGCTGACATAATAAGGTGTCAAAGTATCAAAGCTCATCTAATGGGGGAACATTGTCAATTTTGCTTCCAAATCCGAAAGTTGGCATTTTGGGTACCAATCAACTCCGAACAAAAAACATTGATGCTCGGTAAACATGGTGGTGATGGGTTCGCAAAAGGTCTTAATCGAAATGAAAATTTTATTTTCTTCCCAAGTATGCATGTTTTATTGCAGTTTCGGTGCTATCAGTTATATATTTTTGGTCTATAATGCATCAGCCTCCTTGCTGTTTGAGGTCACACTGTAACAGTCAGTGGCATATTACTAAAAAATAAGAACGAGTCGGCATCTATTGAGGGTACCATATGTAACAGAATTTAATTTTCTATCTGATGTTATAAGTTTCAAAACATGACTAATGGGGGAACATTACGAAATTCGATGTTAAAAGCTGCTGACCACGATTATACACCCACAGCTGCTCACGGTTTCGTGTACTGCAAATGCTGCTAATATAGTTTTGACGCTAGCAGACGCACGTTTTTGCATTCAATTGGCTGCTACGGCGTTCCATGTGATGATAGAGAACATCCCTGGTTTTCGACTTTTGTGTGTTGTGTATATTTGTTTATTAAGCTCAGGCTACACTATCAGCGTTTTTTCGGTTTCTGCGTGATTTCGGTTTCAGCGTTTTTACGGTTTCTGCGTTTTCTCGTTCCGGGCGGCCGCCGCGTGGACGGTGTTGTTTATAGCATAGTGATGGATAAGTGATTAAATTAATTAATTATTCATGTTAAATATCATCGTGTTTTAACAAAATCATAATTAAATATTTGTTTTAAAGATTTTACAACTAACAAGAATATATTTTCGATCATAATCATTTGTCAGCTTAATTACAATTATCATATTTGAAGTAGAATGATGAGTTTTGAAACACATCTTGTCTTCTTCAATCATGAATTACACCATTTTCATTATTTACATTTGAAACTGTTCCATCGTCACAATATTATTAGCAACAATCACTTCTAATCATTCATCACTAAAACGAAATCCCGCAGAAACCGAAAAAAAGTTCACAGCTCTGAGGCCAGTTTTACCAAAAAATACCAGCCGGCCGCCGAAATAAAATATCCAGCCGAAAAAATAGACGCCACACAGCCACGAGTTTCACCAACAAAAAATTCCAGCCGATTTCGGACGGAAATTATTTGTCGCCGGTAGTCAGCTGATATTCTGTTACGATATCAAATTACGATATGTCAAGGAGGTTAATAAATTATTTAAAGCATGTTTTCAATCAAATTGAAGCGTGATTTCTAATGCAAATGCTATATACATTTCGAAATATTATTATCGTAAATTATTACATTATTTTCAAGAGCAATAACAACAAAGTAGAGCATTATAAACTTTCATATCTATATTAACATTCTGGTGCCCAGCAAAAGCCAATCAATACAAAACTACCAAATTGTAAAGGTAGGTACGTCATTCATAAAGGTGACGTAAGGAAGCTTGCATTTAAGGCAAATTTAAGATGGATCTTTTTTCCTGTCAGCCTAGTATATTAATTTTTACAATACCTTCAACTTGCTATGTACCTTTTTGTCTGTTTTTAGTCGCACCTTGTAGAAAATCATCGTGTAGACCGAGAACGCAATGTGTGGACCTCCAGCTATGAGGTGGGGACTAGATGAGACCCACTCCAGCGGCAGCGGAACACCTTCAATTAAGGGGGCACTGCCGACTTTTGGTCCCATTCTTTCCATGCAACGCCCATAGGGCTAATATTAAAATGTCAAAATCAAAGGGGGGCACGGTGCCCCGGTGCCCTACCCGTTCCGCCGCCTAGGAGTCCCGCTCCCGACAGATCCGGGAGTCGCACCTCTTTCCTAGCTTTCAAAAGAGCGGCAAATAAGCGGTCAGCATTGCTCCCAGAGACGTCACCTGAAGCTGGACGGACGACGGACAGTTCCGCTGCCGAGCGATTGAAGTTGAACTGCGGTGCTACGAGGCGGCCTCGCGTGCACTGCATTAGCACCTTCTAGCGGGAGTAAGAGGGCTAACGAACTCGCCAAGGCCTATATATGTAAAGCATTGTGCAAAGGCGAGTGTCTTACCTTAGGAAAATACCTACCCAGATTAACTGCTGCACCGCGGTCATTGCAGGGCTGAGGGTACGTCGTTCGCTCCGCTTCGGCGAGGTGGAGGTCAGACTGCCCGGCTAGGTGGTTTTAGCCGATATGCAGGCCCCGTTTGCCGGGCCCGGTCGAGCAGAAGGAACGCCACACAGCAAAGAATATTTGCTCCAGGCCCGCTACACTGGTCCGGCTCGTAAGTCGTAACAAATTAGCAATACCTGCGCTAGCGTCGTCGACCGTCGTTCGACTGCGCCCAGTACCGCTCAGTGGAGAGTCCTGCCGAACTCCTCTGCGTGTGCCCAGATCATTCGTTGCGCGCGGACACAATCGTCCGACGGAGACCGCTGTGCATTATGATCGGGTGGTCACCACCTTGGTCGCCGGCTTTCGCACCCAGCCGAGCCGTCTGGCTACGCCCCAAATGATCGTCTAAGCCTTTCGATTGGTTTGTAACTCGGGTCTAATATCGAAATGTTTGGGAGTTAGGACATGTTAAATCCGTGTTCCATGAACAAACATACATTATGCAACTAAAACGCTTTACTTACTTTAAATTTTCTAGGCTGATGACAAGGCATCCATCTATTTCATTGCAAAATTTCTAAAATGTAAATAAATCATGAGCAATGAGCATAAAAAACAACAGCGATCCACTAGAAGCTAGTGTGGAAATCCACTGACGTAGGTCGCCTCGTACTGGCGCAGCTCGTAGCTCGTCCAGCAGCGCCAGCGTCTCCCGCACCCGGCCGCCCGCCTGCACCATCAGCCGCTGGAAATTGCTGCGCTGCCGCTCCAACATTAGCTTGACCGCCTGGCCGGCCCGGCGGATGCGCGCCGTCCGACGCACGCAGTGTACGTCTTCAACAGCGCCGGGATGTCGTACGACACGACCGCGTCCACGGCGTCCACGCCAATACCGCGCGCTATAGCCTCGAGCACACCAGCGCGACCATCTCAGCTAGCGCGCGCCGTCGCCGGCACGCTGGCACTACCCCACAGAACTCAGTCACGCGCGCGCCCAGCACAGACAGCGGTAGCTCCAGCTGGTGCGCCACCTCGTTCCAGTTGACCAACACGAGCGAGCGTCGCCAGTCGGGCTGTCGGAGCAAATGGTGCATCAGCAGCGGCTTCAGCGGCTGCGGCGCCACCACGTTGAACGACTCGCTCAGCTCGGCCGGCGTGGTGAACCTGCCGACGAACTGACCGGGCAGTGCGACGGCGGCGGCCGTCGTGCCGACCACCAGCAGTCGCGGCTGGAACAGCGACATTCGCTCCAGCTTCTCCGGCCTCCGGGTTCTGTGACAGGGTGGCCAAGAATGGCAGCTTCTGAAGCGGCAGGTGAGGCGCGCATGCAGGGCGGCGGGCCGTGGCCGCCGCCACCCGCTCCACCGCTTTCAGCCAGCCCGTCTCGGCCATCTCGATCACCCGGTCGGCTTCGTCGATCACCAGGTAACGCAGGTGCGGTAGCGAGAAGCCCTCGGCGCTGGTTATGTGATCCATCAGCCAGCCGGGAGTGCTCACCACGATCAGCCAGGGAGGCCGGGCCGCGCGGCCCCACCGCCACCAGTTGGCGCCCCCTCGTGCCAATGTGTCTCCACCCAGCAGCTGGACGCAGAGCGGCGTGTCGGCGTCGTACTGGCGGAACACGGCGGGCACCGAGCGGCCGGCCGGCGCCGAGACTCAGAGGTCGGCCGGTGGCAGTGGCGACTCTGCGGCCGCCAGCAGCTCGGGCAGCACGGTCACCTGCACCAGGAACACCTGTCCGATGCCCTCGGCGGCCAGCCGGGCGCGCAGCTCGGGGCAGAGCGCCGGCAGATTGGCCGGCGCCGGCCGCCGGTCGCCAATCGGTTGCAGGTGCGCCAGCCAGTCGGGCAGCGCACGCGGTGCACGGTCTGTCGGCTCGAGCGCTCCACCTCGTCCAGCACGGTGAAGTCGTCAGCGGCGGCGTCTCCGTCCGACTCGGAGGTGTCCTCACTGTCGTTATTGGCGACGGCGGCTGCCGCTGTGCGCTCAGTCAGGTCGGCCATCACAGCAACACTCGCCGATGATTGGCGTCATCGAAACCGTCGGACGATGGTGGATTCATCACCGTTTTTGCAGCAGAGACTGGAAAAACCTCAGCAATAAACAAGGAAAACCTTACAACATGCCACAGCCTGCAATTGTGCATATTGTTATTATATTTCTCACATGACAGAAAATATTGGCTGCTTTATTCTAGGGACTGGCATGAAAAACATAAGCTAAAATCAAGCTCAGTGAATTATTATTGTATTTCAACATGAGACTGGGAAAAAATCCTTGTCACTGTCAACATGACCAGTGTAACGGATGGGCTGCATGAACATTTCGGCGCATGATCTGAAAACTCTGTGAGCAGAAACTTCAGCGCTGAGGTGAACAAATAACATTTCGGCCGCAATTTGCCTGGTGCCTCCACAATTTTGCAAAACTAACTCACAATACTTACAGCCAGTTTTAACATTATCCCTGCATGACTCATGCATACAAGATACACATGCATTCAATATCAGCACAGTGCACACACAACAGTTAGGGATTCATTTACATTTTACAACATTACTATTATTTTCTTTTCCTTCAATATTGGCAGCATGACTTGCCGAGCTCAGTGGCACAATCTTATGACAGCAAGTTTGTTCGGGTTCGCAACCATGCAAACTTTGCACGTTTGGCTTCAAAAACAAGCCTTTATACATTTCTTTCATGCTATTCAATATTCAATTTCTTTTTTAAATTTACTGTCATTGATCTTGAAAATCTTGCCATTTTGGTCTTAGCCATGTCAATTGCACCTTCCCTATTCCGCACAGCTCAAGTAAGTTCCACCCAAAAGTAGTAGTGGTATCAGTAGTTGGCGCCTTGCATTGTCAAATGTAGCTGAATATGTGAAAACAGTGACAATTTATTTAAAATCTTGAGTCCAATGAGCCTACCCTCTCTGCCTCTCCTTCCAACATTTGTTCAAGCACCTTCAATTTTCGAAAATGATCTTCCATCATTATTTTCCACTTTCGTGCGACTCGCACGAGCAATGAACTTGTAAGCTGACCACTAGTTAATCATGTGCTATCATCTTGCTGTTGGGTGCTTGTAGCAAAAAGATAATATAAACGAAAAAACTAACACCACAACACCAAACACCAGTCTTGTTGGTTCCTTTTGGTCCTGCCTGGTGACAAAGGCTCTTTCTTTACGCAATATCATCAGTATTCCTCTTCTAATCTTGAAGCCCAGATGCTTTACAAATTGGCCATGAATGATACTAAATTATCATATCAACTGGGAAGCGCAAATCACGATAATTAGTAGCAAATGAGGCCAATTGTTCCAAAACGACATCAAAAAAATAGACGGGGTCCCCCGTCTATTTTTTGGGCTGTTTTTCTACAAAAAAATGGCGCAAAATAACACTCCATTAATGCCGCATTTGCCGTTGGTGAAACTCGTTGGCTATTTTTCTGGCTGATACTTTTTCACGCCGGCGGATATTTTTTCGCCTGAGCCCTGATCGGCGGCCGGCTAGTACTCTTGCCCGCGCTCACATACGTGCACGTTACCCCGGCAACGGGCTATTGACCAATGAGAAGCGAGAAAAGTGTTACGTCACTGCGATTTTTCATATACCTGTGCCCCCCGGACGTGACGTAGTGTGCTCGCGCGCGTGCAGGGTCAGAGGCGATCGAAAAAGAGCGCTAGCAGCGCGCCACTCGACGCCGCAATTGTCAAAAGCGGCGTGTTAGTATGCTTTATTATGAATGATGTGTGTAAATTGTAAAAGTGAGTTTTTATGTTGTTTATTTGGTGGAGATGGTTGTAATAAATTAAGTTATTTTTATTTCTGTTGGTTGGAGTTTTTATTCAAAAGATTTCGGTCTATACCATTGATATTTACTGAAAATACCTTCGCTTGAATAAATTGCAGATATTTGGCAACTGAAGTGTTAGGTAAGCCTAAATGATATGTAAAAAGGTAAGAGACACCCTGATTATCATTTGAGAAACGAAAATATATGAATTTTCCTTATAAGACTCGCTCAATATGCTACTCCGCGGTTTATGCCCCGAGGGTGTCCGAGGGTTCCCGTTAGTTTGTCGTTGGCGCTCGGCTCGCGCGCGAGCCGACGTCACCGCCTGTGACGTCGGCTCGCGAAATACGTCATACCCTGCACACAAAATAGCCGGCTGCCGAACAGCGCTCTGGTTGGTGAAACTCGTCGGCTGGTTTTTGACAGAAAAATTGCGCCGGGCTGCTATTTTTCTGTTGGTAAAACTGGCCTCTGAACTTTTTTTCGGTTCCGACTCGTCGGTTTTTGCGGGTTTTCGTTCCACGGGACGCCAGACTGGCAGTGTAGCTTGCGCAATGCATTCGCTATGAGGCGAACTTGACGACGCGAACCGAAATCCCGCAGGAACCGAAAAAACGTCGGAATTCATGCTAGTGTAGCTTAGGCTTTAGGCACATTTCAATTCAAATTTGAATTTGCTTCTCTCACTTCTGTGGGTCTTGGAGTTGTGGATATATTTTGTGGAGCGCGGAGAATCGGGGATTTGTGGAGTATTGGATTGACGTTTTCTTGGTGTTTTTTTAAAGGGACTATCCCACCTTCTAAAATGTTGTTAAAACCAGTTAAATTGTGCCCGACTTTATAGATTGGATGACCAGGAACACGGTTCTGGCATTTATTTTTCATTAAACATCTTAGGCTTCCCATATTCCAAACACAAACTTTCAAATATGTGACGTCACAGCCCAAAATTACCTCCTTCCCCAGGCCACATTACTGTCATAAAGCTGATTCTTTTTACTCTGTAGGCACCACAACAAAGTTCAGACCAAGTTTTAAGCGATTTTTCAACGAACAAACCCATTTAAATCAGAATGACTAAACGAGGTGACATCACACTAACGGTCGCTCCATGTTGAAGATAGGGCCTTGTACAAGGCCCATTTTCAAATGAAGGGAACAAATTTCTTCAACACCAAGAGGCCGCTGGGGTTGCAACCTAGATAGATAGTGGTTTCTGAACCTCGCCGCAAACTTGGCTATCTCAACTCAAACCCCATGTTAAAGGTGGGATAGTCCCTTTAAAAAGATATTTTCATAGGCTACAAATGCCACCAGGAAGACCAAGACCAAGACAGTGCTCATGCCCAAATCATCGGCAACACAGGATGGCAAACTTCGCCTCCCCTGGCTTGTATGAAGCCTTGATTTCCATTTAAGGAAGTAAGTCTGTGCCCATATGGATGATGCACGTGTTGGGCATTTTTGCAAAACAAAGCAGTTGAAAGGGTTCATTTGCCGAGGCCGTATGGAGTACGCCAAGCAATGTCATGCTGATGGGGAGACGTGAGTATGACAATGAAACAGACTACAATTCTTGGCAAAAGGGCTAGCCAAATGCATCATTGAGTTTGACAATTCTGTACCAGTCATTGTCAAGCTGGAAATCTGGGTAACGGTAAAGCTGGGGTCACTGTTAGCATATAGGTATCAGTCGGGCAAACTGCAGGGAGGTAATCTAAAATAAGATTTATCTAATTTAAGAATATGACGTCACCCAAATGTGCTGAGTGATGGCCATATAAGGAGTGATGATCAATATTTAGACTATATTCCCGACATGTCCACATTTGAACCCTCCACAACCATCGAAGAACTGCTCATAACCACAATATTTGTTTTGCTGACTGACATACAAAACATGATCCTACAAATTGTGAACTGGCCAGCTCATTTGAGATTGGAATTTGTCACTGGTGACCAAGATATTTGGGCATTAGTAGAGCAGATGTTACACAGAGGTTTTACAACTGAGGAGAATTAGTGCTCATATGCTTCTTGCTTCCAGAGATGCTTCTTTTTAACACCAAACCAAACCTTACCTGACATAATCTAACCTACAAGTCAGCATACAAACTAAAACCCTACAACCTACAAACCTACAGCTGTGCCTCTCCTTGGTTGGAAACCCTTCCTATGAGCATCCTGCTCTCTTTGCTTATTTATCTACTTGGTAAGCAAAAGCGCCTTCATTTGACATCTGCTCTACTAGACTAGTGCCGTTAATTGTAATTTGTAACCTAACCAAACCTAACCTAACCCAAACCCTGCTCATAACTGTGATAAGTTGCAGTCCTAACTCCTAACATCACTTTGATTCTCCTCAGCCAATTACATCAAGAGGGAGACCACACTGACAGGGGTCCAAGATCCAGCTCAGGCCCTACTGTAAGTGTGGATGTCCTGACCTGTAGCCAGAAGCACTGCCACTGGAGCACAGCAGCTAATTCCCTATCTTCCTTCCAGCTCCACAATGGTCTGCATTTCTGCAATGGTCTCAACAGGCCTAACTGAACACAAAAGTCATTTTCACTTGCTAACAGTTTAAGACTAATATTATTCTAAAAACGGTTGTAAAGCAATGTATAATGAAATAGATATACGGTGTATATGAATAGAATTAGGTGTGCTGAGACTTGTACTTTATGAACTTGAACAGTGAACACTAGAGTAACTAATTCAACGATTTCTTGTTATTCAGACTGTCCGCCAGCGGACGGAGGCCCGGCGACGGACGTCGGCTCAATGGCCAACAGTGGTCCGCCCGCCGGCTGATGGTGGCTCGCCGACCGACGCCGGCCCGTCGGCTGACCACGGCATTCCGGCTGATGGTGGCCCGCCCGCCGACGGAGGTCCGCCGGCCATTCGTGGCACGCCCGCCGACGGCAGCTCGACGACACGTCCTGGCTATGTCACCCCCAAGATTACTTCGCCCCCCAGTCCCTAGGTGAGTGGCTGGAGAGTGGAGAGAACTTTGTGTGTTGCCGGGACGGGATGTCTGCTAATGCAGATGCCGTTGCAGGGGTCGTGACGTATGATGGGTCTCAGACTCGGGCCTCGACTTTTGAGTGAGAAACGTATGAACAGGCTAATGTATTGCAATTATGGGCTATGGCTAAGTGTGCGACAGGAAACGCTATGAGCTATGAGTTATCGTCGCCGTGGCGGAAATTTGAGGACCGTCGCAACCTGTGATGTCGCCGTGACTGCTAATTGACGGTCGCCTTGGATCCTGTGTAACGGTCACTGTGCCTGGTATGTGACGGCCGCGCGTGATTGTTTATATAACGGCCGTCGCGACTGAAACGTGACGGTCGTCGTGAGACCTGACGTGAGACCTGACGTGTCGCTGTGTCACAGGTCACCAGTTGCGGGCGCTCCATCTGACGGTGTCGTCCGACGGCTCCACGGTGACCAGCGCCGCCACTGCGGAAACCATCCGACCCCGAAAATGCTGCTAGCCGTACACGAACAAAGGGCGCCGGGCACCCAGGACCAGCGCCCTGCTCCGAGGCGGTGTCCAAAGAAGGCTGCACAGTGCACTTACTGTGCTAAGGCATAGTGCCCGCTGACTGATAGGAACAAATGACGGTCAGTTATCAGATTTCAGTATGGAACTCAAGATGGTCGGAGCCGACCTGGCTCGGTGGATGGTGTGCCAGGGTTGATTAAGTGTCGAAAGGAGTGAGACGCCCAGATATGTGAAGGATACGTCGATACGAGCCCCGGCTTCGACTCGCCGTCCCAAAACGATGTTGGTTGTGATTGGAGGATCCCCCACCCCCACCCCACCCACCCCGGAATTTGTGCTTTGTAATAGGACGATAATATGTCGTGGTCTCATTCTGGCTCGATATGGTAATAGGTACTTAATTGGACAGATGTTGATGGTATTGGTGGTGGATGTTAATGGCAGGTTTGGCGAGCGCGAATTAATAATCGTGAGTGCACTAGCTGCAATCAGTCGCGCGCTTATTGCAGAGCACCTGTGAGCAAGAAAATTATATGAATGTGGTAGTTTGTCGTGAAATCTGTGTACTTTTGGATTAAGTTGTCAGAACATAAGTGTATTTTTGCCCTGTCCACGGCAGCTCTGAAACAGAAACATGGAGATCGGCTGTGTCATGTGTGCTGTAGCTGCGGGGGCAAGTAGTCCGCGCGTGCCAAAAAATCAAAGGTGGTATGTGAATTTAAGTGAATATACCTCGCTATATTTTCAATTTTATTATTACAACAAATGCTTCGACTGCTGATTACCCTCGGGTCCTAACAATAACGTTTGCGATACTGGAAAGTACATACACAATAGATACCCTTGCGACCGACTGGCGCGATCCGAGAATCTCTCTCACTGTTTTTGCTGACCTACACACGAAAACACGGCCGAATAGCTACCATCGAGAGCACGGAACGATGCTGGTGACTGACGGACCAGCGAAAATAGAGCTCCCGTCTACTCGCGGAACAGCGCTGATTGGCGCGGCTCACAGACTCCATTGGCTCATCAGAGTTCAGACTGTTGACGGTTGTTGCTCCTCCCTCCCCTCCCCGAGAGGGCGTAGCCAAGTAGCTTAGTTGTGTGCGCAGCGGGCGGTCTTTTTGCATCTGTGTAACCGTTGAGTGGATGATATCCAGACGAGCTAGGCGTCGGCGTCGCCCTTCCAGCGGCCGGGCAGCGCAGGTGGACGTGCCGCGGATGGTCCGCCTCCGATCTCGGCACACTCTGCAGAGTGCGGCTGGACGCTCCACGGAGTTGCATAGCGTCGATAGGCCGTATGGTGTCGCTGTCGTAATTATAAAAGCGTAAGTAGAAGGTTGAAGCAATATAGAATGCTATCTTTTTCGAGCTTGTTGCACATAATTTAGTAGGTATTGGCCGTTTCTTTACAAATAATATCGCAAAGCACAGCTTTATGTGCTGGTAACGATATGTGCGCGTCAGTTGCGGCGGTAATCGTCGAAAAATATATAATTTATGAACGTTTCTTGATCATTGAATGATAAACGTGGCAATGTTTGCCTGTTGTGAAGAAGACTCCTATACTGCCGCTCTATCGTCCGGAATTATTCGTGTCTGATTACGGGGATTCCGCCACTCTATCAGCTGATTTTTGTTTCCGAGTCACGTGACCAACCGGTGTCTCCCTGCGCGCCATTACGATCTACTTTCAAGTGGTCGGCCTCCGCCATGTGGACAATTGCTGCGCTGCAAATACAAAACACAGCAAAATGTGGCAATGAGTGGTGGCCACGAAATTAAAAATATATGTATAGATGTAAATACTTTGACATTTGGTGTTGTTTTTTGTGGTTTACCACGCATCGTTTTTAAATAAATTATATATTATATGTAAGGGCATTGTATTAGCTAAAATAATGTCCCTAATGTTAAATTGTTAGCTGATTGTTTTGCAGCAGACAATGTTGTCAAATTTAAGCAAATTTAAGTGACGAAAAAATAGTTGGTTGTCAAGTTCAATGCAGTTTTACAGTACTTAACCTAACCAAATCTTACCTAACCTACTGATTTTTGCCTCCCGGGCACATAGAAATCTAACCTAACCTAACCTAACCTGATTTTTGCCTACCGAGCTTAAAGAAACCTAACCTAACCTACTGATTTTTGCCTACCAGGCATAAAGAAACCAAACCTAACCTAACCTAACCTAACCTACTGATTCTTGCCTACCGAAGATCCTAACCTAACCTAACCTAACCTACTGATTTTTGCCTACCGGGCATAAATAAACCTAACCTAACCTAACCTAACCTAACCTACTGATTTTTGCCTACCGAAGATCCTAACCTAACCTAACCTACTGATTTTTGCCTACCAGGCATAAATAAACCTAACCTAACCTAACCTAACCTAACCTAACCTAACCTACTGATTTTTGCCTACCGGGCATAAATAAACCTAACCTAACCTAACCTAACCTAACCTACTGATTGTTGCCTACCGGGCATAAATAAACCTAACCTAACCTAACCTAACCTAACCTACTGATTTTTGCCTTCCGGGAGAGAGAAAGTTACTTGCAGGAATAGATTGCAAGCAATAGTAAATCAAATATTTTCAGGTTAAATGCCTGAAGCCAGATACACAACCACTTAACCTAAAAATATTTGATTTACTATTGCCTGTAATCTCTCCTAAGGCATTGCCTACGGCAATGCACTGCTTCGCTCCGAGCACGAGGCAATACTTAACCTTACAGGTTGCGCTAGAACACCATTTTCCTCCAAAAATGTTACATTCAGACATTATATATCTGATAGTCTACAACCTTTACCACTGTTTTCTTCCTACCACGGAATATTGAAGGCTGAAGTCAGGGGCGGTCGCAGACTTGGAGTTTGGGGGGGGGGGCCAACTTGTCAAAGGGGCCCCTGCGCTGACCCGGGGGGCCCGGTGCTAGCTTAAAGGGGCCCACGGACGTAGTGCACGGGTGCAGAAATCCAGGCCATGGCCGATGAAGCGGGGGGGGGGGGATAGTGAGCGGCACCCGAGAGGAGGCTCATTGCGCAATGCGAGCTTTGAGGGTGTACCATGTCGAAAAGGTACCGATAAGTGCATTTTGAAACATTGATATTGTCAATAATTCATGCAACTGTGAATGGACTACCGCAAAAGTAAAGGCGGCGCGGCTAACTGCCATTTTCTAAGATCATCGTGCTAAAACTTTTGACAGTTCATCGGTATCTGTTCACTGTTCAATCACATGTGTTCCGTTTCATCTTTTTTTTTGTTTTTACTTGAGCACAAATGTAAGTTTTGAAGGCCATTACAGTAGCCAATACTTCGGAAGATGGATAGTGGGCCAAATATCCCAAATTTGTCGTGCTGCATGGAAAGCAGTGTTGCTGAGAAAAGGGGGTTTTGTTCCAGATTACTGTGGATGCAGAATACATTGTTTGCACCCACTGCAGAATTATTGTTGGTGCAACTGCGCCCACTGCACCCATGGTTCCTACACTTATGGGCCCATCGATAGCGCTTCGGCGATACCTATCGCCTAGAGGCTGCAATGGGGCCCTTAGAGTACGTTGTCAGACCCCCCAGAGGCCGGCGTTGGACCCAAGGGTCAGCGAAGGGCCTCAAAGGCCCCAGGTAGGGCCCCAGAGGCTGATGTGGGCCTTCAGAGGCAAGTGCGTGACGCCCAAAGGTAAGGCTTGAGCCCCCCTCCCCCCCCCCCCAGAGAACATAATAGGGCCATCAAAGGCCGGTGTGGGACCTTTAGAGGCTGGTTTGGGCCCATAGGGGCCAGTTTAGGGCCATCAGAGACCAGTACAGGGCCTGCAAAGGGCAGTTTGAGACCATCAGAGACCGAATTGGGCACTCAAAGGCTAATGTGGGTCCTTACAGGCCAGCATGGAGCCCTAAGAGGTTACCGTGGGGCTCTAAAAGACCGACATGGGCCGGCGTTGGACCCCAGAGGCCAGTAGAGGGCCGTCAAAGGCCAAGATGGGCCCTCAGAGACCGATGACAGAGACTTAGAGGCCGGCATCAGGTCTTCAGAATCCAGTGTGGGGGCCCTCAGAGGCTAATGTGAGCCCTTACAGGCCAGCATGGGGCCCTCAAAGGTCAGAATAGGACCCTAAAAGACCGGCATGGGCCGGTGTTGGACCCCAGAGGCCAGCGGAGGGTCCTCAAAGGCCAAGATGGGCCCTCAGACGCCGATGCGGGCCCTGAGCGGCCGTCATCGGGTCTTCAGAAGCCCGTGCGGGCCCTCAGAGACTAAGGTGGGTCCTTACAGGCCAGCACGGGCCCTCAGAGGTCAGTGTGGGGCCCTAAAAGACCGGCATGGGCCGGCGTTGGACCCCAGAGGCCAACAGAAGGCCCTCAAAGTCCAAGATGGGCCCTCATAAGCCGATGCTGACCCTTAGAGGCCGGCATCGGGTCTTATGAATCCAGGGGGCCTCAAAGGCTAATGTGAGCCCTTACAGGCCAGCATGGGGCCCTCAAAGGTCAGAATGGGACCCTAAAAGACTGGCATTGGCCGGTGTTGGACCCCAGAGGCCAGCAGAGGGCCCTCAAAAGCCAAGATGGGCCCTCAGAGGATGATGCGGGCCCTTAGATGCCGGCATCGGGTCTTCAGAATACAATGCGGGGCCCACAAAGGCTAATGTGTGTCCTTACAGACCAGCATGGGGCCCTCAAAGGTCAGTGTGGGGCCCTAAAAGACCGGCATGGGCCGGCGTTGAGCCCCAGATGCCAGCGGAGGGCCCTCAAAGGCCAAGATGGGCCCTCAGACGCTGATGCGGGCCCTGAGCGGCCGGCATTGGGTCTTCAGAATCCAGTGCGGGGGCCCTCAGAGGCTAATGTGGGTCCTTGCAGGCCAGCATGGGGTCCTCAGAGGTCAGTGTGGGGCCCTAAAAGGCCGGCATGGGCCGGCGTTGGACACCAGAGACCAGCGGCGGAGGGCCCTCAAAGGCCAAGATGGGCCCCAGAGGCCGATGCGGGCTCTTAGAGGCCGGCATCGGGTCTTCAGAATCCAGTGCGGGGGCCCTCAGAGGCTAATGTGGGTCCTTACAGGCCAGCCAGCATGGGGCCCTCAGAGGTCAGTGTGGGGCCCTAAAAGGCCGGCATGGGCCGGCGTTGTACACCAGAGACCAGCGGAGGGCCCTCAAAGGCCAAGATGGGCCCCCAGAGGCCGATGCGGGCTCTTAGAGGCCGGCATTAGGTCTTCAGAATCCAGTGCGGGGCCCTCAGAGACACTTAGTCTAGTCTTGGGGACTCGAGAGACAGAAATGAGGCCACTAGTGGCCGATGTGAGGCTCTCAGACGCCGGTTGGGCCCTTGAGGCCGGTGTAGGGGCCCTCAAAGGCCAGTGGAGGGCCCTCAGAGGTCAATTTGGGGCCTCAGCGGTCAATGTGGACGCTTGACCGCCACTGAAGGGCCCTCAGAGGTCAGTGTAGGACCCTCAAAGACTGGTATGGGAGCTGTTAATAGCTGGCGTGGGTTTCTCGAGCCTCGTGACAATCGAATACGGGCCAGGGCCCCATACGGCCATGGGGGCCCATCGGTTGTTTGGGGGGGGGCCAAATGATATGATGGCCCCCCTGATTTGGCTTTGGGGGGGGGGCCATGGCCCTGATGGCCCCCCCCCCCTGCGACCGCCACTGGCTGAAGTAGCATAATATAACCAGAAATGCCACTTATGGTGCGAACTGAGCAAATTTAGTACAAAAGCAGACATTTTAAGGTGCTCAAAATCCCGAAAAAAATACAAAGGAACCGCCACAAAGTGCTGATGACTGATTGAAACCTCATAAAAATAAAGGTTTATTTCTTCATCAATATTATCATAGCTATAATGAGCCTAAAAAATACTTAGCTTCGCTATGAATATCAATTATCAAACAGTCCTACCAGCACTACCAGAAACTACCAGTACTTGACCAGTACTGCCTCATTAAATGCAAAAGTTGAATTGTTGCTTATAACAATTTTTTCTTCAAATATCACAGTCATGTGAAAATAATCCCCCTCCCCCACCCAAAACCACTGGCGGTCCCAGGGGGGGGGGGGCCACGGGGGCCATGGCCCCCCCTTTGGTGCTGAAAGGTGGGGCCATACTATCTTTTGGCCCCACCTTTCAGATCGAACAAAAGTCCTAGAAAAGCTTTTCGTATGTTTCATTTTCTTTCTTGCGCCATCAAAGGACGTAAATTTCACTCATGAGTGGGCTCAGTTTCGCATTCTGTCAATTTGGCGGTCAGCGTCGCTGGCACCGGTTCACGAGTATGGCCGGATCTTATATGGAATATCAGCGTGGGTTTACTTGAGGCTCTCGTAGGCCCAGCAATGGCTGGCATGAGACCCTCTTCGGCAGTGGTGGGTGGGCCCTGCTAAAGGAGATTGGCTCTAAGACACTAAAGTAAGACCTCATGGGTTGGTGCTGTGCACCTCAGAAGCCCGGTGGTGACGCCGTATGCCGGCTTGGTTTCTTAAGGATTAGCGTGGGAACTCCGGGGCCTGCATAGAGTTTGCATGAGCTAGTATGTAATCTCAGAGGCATGTGTGTAATGTGTACACAGTGGCGGTCGCGGGGGGGGGGGATCAGGGCCATGCCCCCCCAAAGGTCAATAAAGGGGGCCATCTTATCATTTGCCCCCCCCCCCCCCCCCCTCAAACAACCAATGGGCCCCCATATAGGTGTATGGGGCCCTGGCAATGATTCGATCGTCACGAGGCTCAAAAAACCCACGTCCAGCTATTAATATAGCTCCCACACCGGTCTTTGAGCGTCCTACACTGACCTCTGAGGGAACTTCAGTGGCGGTCAAGCGCCCACGTTGACCGCTAAGAGCCTACATCAACCTCTGAGACTCCACATCTAGCCTATGAGGGCCCCTAACCGGCCTCAGGGGTCCCAACCGGCGTCTGAGGGTCTCACACCGGTCTCTGGTGGCCTTAGTCTGTGGTGTCCCAAGACGAACCTTTAGGTGCCAAAGAGGGCCCCGCACTGGCTGCTGAAGACCCGATGCCGGCCTCTAAGGGCCTGCATTGGCCTCTGAGGAGGGCCCATCTTGGCCTTTGAGGGCCCTCTGCTGGCCTCTGGGGTCCAACGACGGCTCATGCCGGTCTTTTAGGGCCCCACGCTGACCTCTGAGGGCCCATGTTGGCCTGTAATGACCCACATTAGCCTCTGAGAGCCCAACTCGGCCACTGATTGTCTCAAACTACTGGCCTTTGTAGTTTGCAGGCCCTGTACTGGTCTCTGAGGGCCCTAAACTGGCCTCTACGTGAAAAGATACATGGGTGGGTTTCTGAAGATCAGAGGGCTCACGCAGTCTCCGGCACAGCCTTACGTTGGTCCTGATCGAGATTACTTTACGTCCTGATGGTCCCGCGCAGATTCCCTCATATTTCGACGTCAAGACCCCATGAGCCGGTGTGGGTCCTGGGGCTGGCAGAGACTGATGAAGTCCTTAGGGCTCAGGGCCAGTCTTTTTAGCAGTAAGACTAGGCAGGTTGAGTGAGCCCCAATAGAGCCGCTGCGAAGCCCCGCAGGAGTCGCGCGCGGCCCTCAGATGCCAATTTTGAAAGCTCGGAACCTGTGGGGGTCTCCAGAGGTCGGTGTACCTACTCTCTCCCGCCGCCACACAACTAGGTATGTTTAATGTTACCTATATGGGTAAATGTCATAGTCTGAAAATGCTCTCTGGGTTTCACATGCTTGTTCAAAGCAAGAGGTGTCTGTACTTTTCCGAATTGTTTTATAGTGGTAAGGTCATGAATCCGCGTGCCTGGCCTTCCAGTATACACCTATGCTACACCGATCCGTCGTCATGGTGCAGTGGGCCGACCGGTGGAAGCACCGTGGGACGGGAAATGGAACTGGTGATTTTGCCTTAAATTGAGCTTAAAGATTTCACGCAAGAATCAGATGAATGATGAAGCATAAGTAATGCCAACTGCGCGGCACCTCGTGGACGTAAAAAATTAGCCGATCACCCCCCCCCCTCCCGGTGGCGGATAAATGTTATGTCCCGCGAGTGTGACTTTGGCCCCCCTTTTGCTAGCGGCTGCGACCGCCAGTGCCCAAAACCCCGATTCCCCACATTTCCCCTAGTGTGTTGGGCTAAAAAACGGTACCAGTACTACCAGGACTGCCAGTACTTGACCAGTACTACCTCATTAAATGGAAAAGTTGAATTGTTGTTTATAACAAAATATTTTTCTTTTCAAATATCACCGTCATGTGAAAACATTCCCCCCTCCCCCACCCAAAACCCCGATTCCCCACATTTCCCCTAGTGTGTTGGGCTAAAAAAGGGTACTATATTTCTGCGTAGATGTTTCGCAACAGCTGACTGCAGGTTCTCACGACAGCTGACATGTTGAAAACAAACTGCGGGTGGAAATCGTGGTGAGATCACGGTAAGTTAGTTATAGCTGGAAATTGTTGGTCAGATTAACTGCATGACACAGTATTGTTACTAAACGCGAGTTTCTCTATAGAATGATGTCTATATTATAGGAATTAACTAATGTCTGAACCGGGACGGGTGGCCTGTATGACCCAGCGGGGTCTTTCGGTTTGGCTGAAAATCGGTGTACATACATGACCATCTCGATGCGCTGATTCCGAAAATGTACCTCGTGCTCTACAAGACGACCTTAAGACTGCCGAGAAGTGGTCGAAAGACTGGAAACTGGCATTTAACGCTAACAAGTGTAAAGTACTATTGCCAGAACACAGGACATGGAAAACAGACCAGAATACAAACTAAATGGAGTGACATTGGAAAATGTAACCATGGATTTCTCCTTCATCCATGATGTAACTGTGCAGAATGCTCTGAGCTCTGTTCGCACCCCGTTTATTTATCAGCAGACTTATGACGTCGGCGGTCGATTTACGTCACGGGACATGACGTCATCACTGCAAGCTACGTGCTACATAAAAGAGACATATATGATGCTGTACTGACATTGGTGGCGCACATCAACAAATGCTCTCCCGAGCTGTTTTGTGTGTTTATTGTTTCACATGGGTATGTTGTGATTATGTTCGGTTTTGAGAATTGATTTTTTGTGTTATTTAATTTTATATGCTGTTTATTTGTTCAGCCGTAGGTGACAGGCATAGAACGGTCATTTTCTATTTGTAAACGATTTTACCTGCGTTTTGGAGTACCTACTTCATAGAAGAGCATTTCAATTTAGTGCTTGATTGTGTCAGAATATGTGTGCTAAAATGCAATATTTTGCTTCATTAGATTCGCTGTCCCCTGAAGTTTGTGAGGATTTGTCAACAGTAATTTTTTATCTTATATATAGGAAAATATTCCCAAGAAGGCACTGAATTCATATCAATATAGCACTCGTACATGTGGTGATTGTTGGTGGTGTGTATCCCGTACCGTGAAGCTTGAAAGCCTACTTATATGCCACAATTTTTAATATTCAAGTTGATTTTTAATGATGAAATTATGAAAGTTGTTCAGAACCTTGCACGGACTGGTTTACGTATGGAATGATAAATAAACAGTTCTCATGAATCCAAACAAAAATATGGCACATGCTCATGAGAACATTTACTGCAGGTCGTCAAAATCTACGCAAATTACCAGACTTTAGAGTATCATTCCGCGACGCAGCGTTGCAACCGTGCGCACAGGTGGGGAACCTTGGCGTCACTTTCGACTGCACTCTGTCATGGGACGCTCACATCTCCGAACTCTGCCGCCGGTGTACGGGTCTGTTGATTGGTCTCTCACACGCGCGCCACTGTCTCCCAGATGGCATCATTAGAATGCTCGTGACGGCACTCGTAGTATCGCGTATCCGGTACTGCCTGTCAGTTTATGGTAATGGGTCCCAAAAAAATTTTGATCGACTCCAAAAAATCCTTAACTTCGCCGCTAGAGTTATTTTCGGCCGACGTAAATTTGACCATGTCTCCGACCTGCGAACAAAACTCGGCTGGATATCCCCGCGCGGTATGGCCGATTACCAAACCCTTGTCATCGCACACAAAGCCATACAGTGTCGAGAACCCGAGGAGCTAGCAGCCCTGTTCGTTACTAACAGCGCTATCCGCGAGCGACAATCCAGACAAGATTACCTCTTCCATCTTCCGCGTCCGCGCCTGGAAACAGGCAAGCGGCGGTTCGGCTATCGAGCTGCAGCTCTGCTAAACAGCCTACCACCTCACCTGTCGCAGTTGCCTCCCGCCCGCTTTGCCCGCTCTGTTAAAGCCGCGATCGTGAACGGTGAATCAGCACGTCGCTGACCAACAGTATGGGGGTGGGTAAGAGGGACGAGGCTCTCCTGAATGTGTTTTGTTCTGTTTTGTCCGTGTTTTGACGTGAGTGAATGTGCAAATGTTATGAATGAATGATTAGATTAGTAACCGCGGATACGGATTCTGAGCAGTAATCGCCACGCATGTTGATTGTGGATCGCTCTTAAATGTAAATACAAATACAAATACAAATACAGGTCTTTGACCATTTGCTGGAAAATGCCTTCCGCCAGCTGTCCGGTAAAGTCTTCAGACCTGAGGCATCATCCTGTTATCACTCTGAATAGCTTGGTGAGGTTGCTGAAGGCCTCTATTACTGCTTCCTCTGAGGCTCTGACCCTAAGGTGCTTGAGCAATAAGCATTTTGGACTTTAAAGGAGGGAGTGAATTTTCTGATCCCTTGTTTTCTTGGCAGGTGATTTATCGCTGCTTAGGGCCAGCGGCCCATCGGACAGCCTTGAGAAGACCGCCGCACGCTGTTTGCAGTCCGTCGACCACCTGTCTTCAACGGACGGACGCCCTCGGTCCCACTCAGCAATTGACTGAAGCCTATCGCGCCGATATGCTCGCCCATCTTCCATCCTCGCCCTGCCTGATGGTTTCGACGACCCGGGCTGTGGTCCCTGAGGTTCGGAACCCGTCTCGCTGGCCTGCCAGCAGGAGGCCTGGCGCTCGTCGCAGACGAGCGCTGCAGTGTGGCCAGTGAACCTGATGCTTCACTGGCCACACTGCTGGCACTGATACTGCATATCGCACAGCTCGTTATATAACAATTGAACACATGTCAGGCGTGATTTATTTGTAGATATTTGTAAACAGCCTTTAATTTTTGGCATTGATTCGTTGTGTGTCGTTGTTTTGTTCGCATGTGGCCATGTGTATAAGGCTACTGGCCAGTTGCCATAGCCTTATCCTTCTCGTTAAATTTGTTATCTGGAAATAAATGTCACCACTCACCATAAATGTGTTCTACATGGGCAATGACTAACTATTCTACTGTACATTTTACGGATGTCACATTTCATGGTGCTTCAGGATAGATATCACAAGCGTCGCACTTCTTTGTTACGTTGATGACGCACCTGTAACCGCAGGCAATAACAGCCAGACACAGGCTGACACGCGCTATTCACCGATGGGCATATGAACAGATGGGTGTCGTGATCGTGGGCATAGTACTGCCTAGACTCGGCAATAATTAGGGCATTTTTAATTCTCGCCGAACCTATCGGTTTTCTTCATCAGATGCCGTTTAGGGGGAGGGTAGATGGACTCTGCCCTCCCCGCCCCTCGCCATTTCGGACTAAATTGCGACATTTTAGGGCCGTGCAGAGGTTCACTTACGACGTCCCAAGTCAGTAACCTGACCTGACCTAATAATGTGGTCGGTGTGAAGATCCGTCTTTAATGTTCAAGTGCGCCAGCTTTCATCTCTATACCAGCGCCTTCCGAGCAATTACTTAAAGAAAAAACGTCGAGGGCGACACCCGAACCCCCTCTGCTCGGTGGCGAGGGCTAGGGGGTAGTGCTTATTAAGGGAGAATGGCTGTGCTATTTGACTATGCCATTCGAGCCCTACCAACACTTGTGATGAACCGACGCCCGGTGCGAAAGGAACATCGGCGTTCTCGGCCAGTAGCGGCGGAACACCTTCAATGAAGGGGGGGGGGGGCACTGCCGACTTTTGGTCCCATTCTAAATTCTTTCCATGCAAAGCCCATAGGGCTAATGTAAAAATGTCAAAATCAAAGGGGGCACGGTGCCCCGGTGCCCTCCCCATTCCGCCGCCTATGTTCTCGGCAAAGTTGCCAATGATTTGCAAAGTTTGAATGATTCACTGCATAATGCCAAGTCCTTTTGGCTCCTGCGAGATGTCGCTAGCGCGTTGATGAAGTTCAATATAGAGGTCACTAGCGTCGAGCCATGAAACCCAAGATTACTTTCATGAAACCTACGCAGCTAACGGATGGGGCTGCAGACAAAAGTACGCCAAAAGTACGTCGTGACCGTGGTCTCCGCTGCTAAGCGACAATCAAAAGGGACATTGCTCAGCTTGTTTGGCGCACGTGTGACAGCGGCGCGGGGCGCGCCCAAATCGGCCGCGCCTTCGCTGCGGTTAGCCCACAGCGATCGCACGAACTCTGCGGTTGTAACAGCAGCCTACGTCACACACTGCTGGCGCGGCTCGAGCTCCTATTGGACAAATTCACGTGGTCTCCGTTGCTAGGCAACAATCTCGTCCATCAGCCAGTGTATGGATGGTGGCAGTGGTTTTGTAGTGTCGGTAACTTTTTTGTCTGCGTTTTAGATCACTTTGTAGCCCCATTAAACGAAGAAATATCTCCCTTTTGTGGTTGCCCATAGTAAGCGCACGGCAGCCTACGTCAGTAGCCTGCGTGCGTTTCTCGGCCTCTCATTTACCGGGGTTACATGAGCGATCCGTTCCAAATACGCACTACGCTAATGCGCATCAGCTCCCCACAAACGGATCTACGGCACCGGTTACATGAGACTAATTCGTTTTATCTACGTCAAACGGATCTTGTTTGGCTCACCCGGGCTGACTCCTCGCAAGCCGGTAATTCGCATCACAAACGGAATAGGATTAGCGTACAGTCATGGCGCAGTTGCGGCATTTACCGGGACGACTGAGCTAAATTTTAAATACTTATATCATTTGATAGGCTCAAAAACATTTAGAATTAACATGAAATCAAAAAATGAAAACAAAGTTTTCTTGTTTTGAGTCAGTGGGCACTGATTCGCCATGCAGCGACAGCAGGGTGGTCAGAAAAAATTATCTATCAAAATATTTCATTCATTTTATTTCACATGCAAAGACTAAACCAAAATACCAACATTTTTTTGCTATTTTCTACGAGGCAGCCAATAAAAAAAAAAATGCTTAGTATTTTGCATTTTGACGCTTCCAGTCAGCAAAGAATAGTTCTTGTGAAATACGGCCCGAATCGTGTGCCTCGGACGTTTCGGTTACATGAGCGATCCGTTCCAAATACGCACTACGCTAATTCGTATCAGCTCCCCAAGAACGCATTCAGTGCACCGACTACATGAGCAAATTCGTATCAGTGACGTCAAACGGATCTAGTTTGGCTCTCGGCCCGATGCGCATTACAAACGGAATAGCATACAAATGTGGCGCACTTCCGTAGCAATAGAGGTGACTAAATTAAAAATTTATTTTCTTATGTCTTTTTTGCATTTAATCTGCTAAAAACATTCTCAATTAACTTAACAAAAAAAAGTTGAACATAAAGTTGTCTTGCTTTGACTCATTGGGCAATTGCCTCTCTTGATTCGTCTGTAGTGCTGTCAGAAAAATGTTTCAACTGAAATTATGTAGATATTTACTATTTGGTTTTCACTATATTTATTGTTGAAAACTTGACAAAATACCGACATATTTTTTAAATATTATTTCAAAAGAAGAAAATGAAAAAATACCTATTATTTTGCATTTTAATGTTTCTTTTTGCGAAGAAATAGTTCCTGTACTACGTATCTTGGTCCTATTCGCTTCTAAGCCTCTTTCCCAGCGGATTTTGTTCGGACCGCCGATTCGTATTAGCAGGTGGATACATGAGTCGGTAGTACGCTCCTGATTCGCATTAGCGGTGAATCCGATCGTGATACGTATTTGCTTTGCTCATGTAACCGCGGATCGGATCGCCGATTCGTACTAGCAGGTGGCTACATGAGTCGGTAATGCGTTCCTAATTCGAATTAGCGGCTAAATACGTATTTACTGTGCTCATGTAACCCCGATAATTGGTCAACAGCACAGTCCTATCTCTTCAACACAGTAGCCACCTAGTGGGCTGTTGGGGAAGCTGTTTTGACAGCAGCGGGCGAACAGAGCTCAGATTCCAGGACAAATCTTCGTATGGCATTTCTTCGTCGCGCAATTCTTCGTCCGCATTTCTTCGTCCGCAAATCTTCGTCGGCGCATTTATTCGTGTCGCATTACTTCGTCTCGCATTGCTTCGTAGGTGCAAAAATTCGTAGCGCATTTCTTCGTATCCGCATTTCTTCGTCGGCGCATTTCTTCGTCAAGCATTTTTTCGTCTACGCATTTCTTCGTCTACGCAAATCTTCGTCCGCATTTCTTCGTCCACGCAAATCTTCGTCTGCGCAAATCTTCGTCCGCAAATCTTCGTCCCCGCAAATCTTCGTCCGCAAATCTTCGTCCGCATTTTTTCGTCCACGCATTTCTTCGTCTACGCAAATCTTCGTCCGCATTTCTTCGTCCACGCAAATCTTCGTCCCCGCAAATCTTCGTCCGCAAATCTTCGTCCGCAAATCTTCGTTCGCAACTTTTCGTCCGCATTTTTCGTCCACGCATTTCTTCGTCCAACCAAATCTTCGTCCGCAAATCTTCGTCCGCAAACCTTTGTCTGCGCTATCTTCGTCTCCGCAAACATTCGTCCACAAATGGTTCAATAAAACCATGAAGAAATATCAGACAGTCAAGTGAATGACGAATTTAATACAAGGAATGGATGATCGAAACTTTTGAAGACAGGTAGATGAGGTCAGTCAGGTGAAGCTATTGTATTTGGGAGCCGACAATCGTAACATTCCTCATTTGTGTCCCGGACATTCTTTTTTTGCGGTCGTTGAATGACAATATATCTCTTGTACCCTCGCCGGCATAGGCGGCGGAACGGGGAGGGCACCGGGACACCGTTCCCCTCTTTAATTTTGGCCTTTTAACAGTAGGTACTAGCCCTATGGGCGTTGCATGGAAAGCATATTGGACCAAAAGTCGGCAGTGCCATGCCCCCCCCCCTTAATTGAAGATGTGCCGCCGCTACTGCCCGCCGGACCTATTTGTTTTCTACGGTACACGCCGGCCGAGGGGGCGGGTACGACCCCCCCCCATCGCCGTTTCGCCACTGGTGGAGCTAGCGCGTCGCGGAAAAAACAGCGTGTGCGCCGTTACGAGCCGCAGAGATTAATACCCGATTTTAAGGCCTTCTAGGTCAGGGGTCGGCATACGGCCCGCGGGCCGGATCCGGCCAGGTGGGTGACGGTTGGATCCGGCCCGCGACCAGCTGACGTCCGGCCCGCGGCTGGTATCAGCGACTTACATCGTGTTCCGGCTCGCGGTTCCTTCATAAATCGACTCCGATATAAAAGTGACTCAAATGTGCTTTGGCCCAACAGTTCTTCCTTCGCACACTTCATGAGTTTATAAACACCATATGCGGGTGTTTTTGTCTAATTCTACTTCTAGACAAAACTTGCAACGGTAAGATTTGGTCAGCAGCTTTTGCGCGCAGCATCGACGACTGCTGCAGCTGCGTGCACTTGGCGGCTTCACGTGGTCTACTCGCTTAACCTTCCAGGCGGTGTGTGTGTGTGGGGGGGGGGGGGGGCGGGCCGGAACACGATGTAAGTCGCTGATACCAGCCGCGGGCCGGACGTCAGATGGTCACGGGCCGGATCCAACCGTCACCCACCTGGCCGGATCCGGCCCGCGGGCCGTATGCCGACCCCTGACCTAGAAGGCCTTAAAATCGGGTATTAATCTCTGCGGCTCGTAACGGCGCACACGTTCGTTTTTTTCCGCGACGCGCTAGCTCCACCAGTGGCGAAACGGCGATGGGGGGAGGTCGTACCCGCCCCCTAGGCCGGCGTGTACCGTAGAAAACAAATAGGTCCGGCGGGCAGTAGCGGCG